ACTAAAACACCAACAAAAATGTGGTGTTTGTAGGAATGGGCATCCTTTTCTTCCCAGGCCCGGAATCATAGCAGCCCACAGTGTAGGACACAAACTCAGTAACAATGAAGTTTCCTCAACAGTGACTTCAGAGACAGTTAAACATCACAATACAATAGCAGGAAACACATTTATTACAGGAAGTTTGAGCTGTTTCCCTTTTGTGAAACGGCGTCAGGTCATGATTGACACGGACTGAATGAACAGCTGTAGCAGCAGCAGCAGCAGCAGCATGGTGGAGTAATGTGTGCCTCAGCAGCAACAGCCACAGTAGCAGCTACTTTTTGCAACAAACACAAACACCGAATGCTATCAACATCTTGTGTTCAGGAGTAATTAGCTTTTGTCAATTCTTATTTGTTTACAAAGCTATAAAACAGATATTACTGTTTGCATGTTTGTAGCTCGGTGGGTATCTGTGGTCTAAATGCCAGTGTGTCCCTGTGCAGGTGACTTGCAAGTATGAAAATAGAGAATCGATGTAAGTGTGTAATAGAGTGTGTTTAAACTTGCAAAAAAAAAACGATGTGAAAAACCTTTGTTCTTCTTAATTTTAGACTTCGCAGACACAATGCATTTCTTCACTTTCTGTTCCCTTGGTGCTTTTATGCATTCATTTGTGACAGCCAGTGTTATCAACCATGACTGTGAATGCTTAGTGTTCAAGGTTCAAGTGTGTGTAATAAAAGAAAACTTCAGCAGCTAAAAAGAAGAAGTGTTCATGGGTTCCACTTCTGAAACCTTTGACTGCACCTGACGGTTTCAAACTGAGTAAAAAAGGAATAATAATAATACTAATAATAGTGCTGCAGTTTTGCTTCCTCTTTGCCTCTGTCACTTTCAGAAAGATTTTTTAACCCAGTGCAGAAATGTAGTCCTGAGAGAAGTGATCTTCCTCATCACTGCTGTTATAGCAGCGATCTCTCAGTCATGAGGAGACAGGCCTAAACTGCTCAGTGTAGAAAAAAACAGCAAACATCATTAGAATGTAAATTAAAAGTAGCAGCAGCAGCAGCAGCAGACCTGAGGCTTCTGCTGCCGTTGCTCGCCACTACTAAATATACAGAGAAGAAACACGTGTGTACGCAGTGTTTACAGTCAGTACTGAGGAGAAGAAGACACGGGCAGAAAAAAAAACAAAAAAACGTTTGGCGTGTTTTCAAGACGCAGCAGAGGTGATTCCAAGGACGTCTATAGTTGTAATACTAGGCAACAAGAGCAAACAATAAAAAGGAGCAGACTTCAATATCAATAGGTGCAACATAGTTTTTACCTGTCAATCAATGTTTTATATAAAAAACTTTTTTTTTTCATATTAGTTTCGTACTTGTGGTTAGCTGCATTTTTTTTGTCTAGGCCAGTTTCTCAGACAGTAACAAACATGGTGGTGGAGGAGGAAAACTAAGCCAGTCTCTGGGTCTTTACTGTATTTAAAAGCAGGCTTAAACCCTCGACCCTCGAAGATGTCCAGATTTAGTGTATATGCTTCAAAGGTCCCAACGTTTAGATTCAGTTGGGCTGAAACAGCTGAGCATAAATGTACATCAAGAGTCTCTAAAGGCCCTTCAGGGTTGCATGTGTCCTAGTGTTGTTTTCTGGTGACTGAGCCGGTGTCTGTCTGAACATGAACACTGTGATGTTGAGATGAGTTTTCCCTCAGGGACAATAGAGTCTAATTGGAAGATAATGTCTCTGGTTTTATCCTCTGTTTTTCCCCCCTTTTAACCATGAGCTCACTCCAGGAGGTGTTTTTGGTTCTGATGATGTCATTAGTGTGTGTCAATGACCGAGGCGTTTTGAGATGGATAAACTGCGCATCAGCTGCAACCAGATGGCTTTATCGTCCAATCAAACGTCTGGTTTTGAAACACTTCTTTTGGAAGCGACACGTCTGCTGTCAACTATAAACAGGAAGGAAAAGGAAACTGATAGTGATAGTCATCTCGTCTTATGATGTCGTTGGAGGCAGAGACAACACTCGTCTGTCCGTGCAAAAGAAAACCCCAGGTCCCTGTCTGTTAACACCAGACAGGTTTCTAAATGTTGACACTATATCCTGCTTTTTGTGTGTGTGTGTGTGTGTGTGTCCGTGGTTATTTATCATGCGGATCATATGGCACGCATTGTTTTCACAGGCCGTTGCATGCTTCTGCGTGCGGCTGCAGGTGATCAGGACCGAGCTTGTCACACAGGTAACAAGTTCCTGAGCTGTGAGTGGAACACGTGTGGCTGAGAGGATGAGTCAGAGCTTCAGTCACTGAGTCATATGGTTCCTTAGCCTCGTCCACGTCCATCTGTTCACTCACAGCCTATAGCTGTGTTTCTTAGGCTGCAAATGATGGAGGAAAAAAATGGAGGATGTTGTCTGTTTGTATTTATATTATGTGCAGTATACAGTACGTATTACCTGATCTCAGCAACAGCGATGGACCATAAGGCGCAGTTTTATTTCAGTTAAAATACTGTAATATTAGTTACGGTGTTTTAAGTTTTATTTATTCTGGCTTTGTCTTTGCTATTTCCACAATTGTATTCACTCTTCCTCTAAATATTTTGAATTAGGGCCAACCTAAAATTGTAATTGAAAAATCAATAAAACATAGTGTCATCATTGAAATAGAGATGGGATATTCCTGAGTATTTACTTTTTTACTCTAAATGTGGCAAATCTCAGTACTACTTTGGTAAAAAGACAATTCACAACAGTTTTTTGTAATTGTCTGTATTCAAATTGATGGTTTGGATTGGATTGATTATTGGATGCTAAAACTCTTTTTTTGTATTTATTTACTTTTCTATGTTTTCCACGGTTTAAAGTAACACCATTTTCATGCATCACAGAAATGGATAATATTCACTACTACAGAGGAGGCGAGTCAGTTGAGAGCAGGATTATTTCCAATTGGCTGCCTCATTTGAATAGTGCAGACTTTGCAAGTCAAATTGTTCCATTGTTTCTGTCTTTCTTTCTTTTTTTAATTTCAGAATGATCTCTGTGCAGTCACTTAAACTCAGGACTTTGTCTGGTCTTAAAAGGGGAAAAAACGCATATGTTTTCAGTTTCGAGCTTGCCTGAGCATTTACAAAAACGTGGGCTGCAGAAGAAAAACATGCGAGAAGAAGGTGTGAGAAAAGTGCTCACGCACATCGTAAAAAAAAAAGAAAAATACTCAGTACACGGTAAGAGCTATGATCACAGTATATGTAGGAAGATAAGAAAGAATGTTTTTTTTTTTTGTTTACTTACAGTGTTCTTCTGGCAAATTATCTCCTGAAAGAAGAAAAGGGAAAAAAAAATCTGTCAAAGATGTTTTTAATCAGGCACATTTCTTGGTCAAAGACTGTGGGGAGAACAGGTAATCATTTCTTGTAACTAATATAATGTGAGGAGACAGTGACATGTTTCTGAGATGATGTCATTTTTATGTGATAAACTGAAGGAGATCAGTTTATGGGAAAAAAAAAACCTGCTGCCAGGAATGAAATAGTCCAAGAATATCCTGTAAATATTTTTACAAAGCAGGACATTTTTTCCTATCAAAGCCAATAAGGCCTGCAACTCTTTCACAGCAACTTGAGTTTTTGTTTTTTTCTTCCTCTCCGTGATTCACACTTTTGTGAAGAGCTGCCACCGCGGCACTTCACATTTGAACTTGTCATGCTTTAGAAGCATCTTGAGAAGCTCATTGTCTAGTCAGAAAGAGTTTATGGATATGAGTGAGATGCAGATGCTAAGATCTTTGATGGACGGAAATGAGCAGTTCAGAGGGACAGTTAAGGTGGAGCAGTTCTGCTTTTGCTACCTGGGTCGCCTGGAAAATCTCAAGAGGCTAAAATTCAGAAAAAGTAAAGATGTAAAAAATGATGTTTATTGTGTTACAGCAACATTCCTTGCATTCCAACAATGTCTAGGTCTGCCCTCAGGATTCCTAGGCGTTTTATTGTGTCTTATTTTTAAAGGGAGTGTTCAGGGGGGAGGGGACAAGCTGCCTGGTATAGACCAGCAAAAACCAGAAAAAGGGAGGGGAGAGGTCTTCTCAGGCAGGGAGAGAAGCCTCTTGGGCCCCAGACGAGTGGGCACCAGGGCAAACCACAGGAAGGGAGAAGCCCGTGCTTCTACTGTGCATTAACACAGCAAAGAATGTCATTGTAAACATTTCAATCTCCACTGCTGAGAGTGGCCATTAGTTGTTGTTGTTGTTGTTGTTTTTAACACAGTGTTTTTCTGGCAGACGACTGTTTCCTCACAGACTGTGATGCTGCTACATGCTGACTAGTCAGTACAGATCAGTACAGATCAGTACAGTACAGTATGTTCACTGGTTAAGAATCTGTCTCTCCATAAGTCTCACTTTATCACACATACACACAGCACTGCAATAATGGAGTCAGTGTTTCTTTAGATCACCTACAGCAGCAGGAGAAGTTCCCTACTGAACTACTTCCTGTCTGCCTTTGCACAGGAGCTGCAAAACACTGCTGACTCAGCCACAACCCAATGTGGTGAGAGTCTAGGTTCAGCCCAATTAAACTGGCATTATATGAGGAACACTGTAGACTCCCACAACACACATGGGCGTCACATGGGAATACAGCTAATTGTGGCCCAAGTAACTTTTTTCTTACACGCATGGCAAGAAACTTTGTCAGTGGACAAAATATCTCTATATTCATGATTCATTCACTGCTCTGTGATTGGCTTTTGGACTTTTGCATTGCCTGACAGTTGAACTGGTACCTAATGTAGCGGCCGGTTAATGTGCCACATTAGTAATTGATTAGAAAATGTTACTTTTTGCACCAGGTACATAAGCTTAATTTATAAACTTGCGGCCGGTTAATGTGCCACATTAGTAAGGTACATGGCTTAATTTATAAACTGATTATAGTAGTATTAATAAAAGTTAAAAAACCAAGGACTAAAATAATTCAATCCTCTGCTGATGGAGATAAAAGAAAATTTGATGGATTAAATGTCATGGCAACAACTGCCACAAACAAAGAGATTTTTTTGTTTTTTAAATGCCACTTGTGATTTCCCATCACCAAAATGTTTTTCCTCAAATCCACTGACTGACATCTTTACTTTTCACTTCCAGCAAATTACACTCCTGTCAGTCTCACATCAGCCTTTGCTGTCACCAACCTGACCTTGTGAATTGCAGCCCTCTCAGTTTAGAATAGTTTAGAATGAGAATGTCAGGGCCTGTGGACCCTGATGGTTGTACCTGAAGAGACTGGAGGGAGTCGGAGTTAGTGTCACAGTACAGGATGATATTGTTGGCCATGCTGAAGCTCTCTCTCACGCCCAGGTGGTAGAAGAGCGAGGGCTGTCGAAAAGCATCTGTCATCTCCACCACGGCCAAGTCTGATGGCGAAAGAGAGGATATGAGCGTTATAGATAAATACCTGTGTAATCAGTCACTTTAATCACACCATTATATTTTTTATTTATGTGTACAGTCTTTAGACCATTATTGCTAATATTGTTGCAATATCTCCAATACAATTTAGCATCGCTATTGGGACTAGCTATTAGCTAATTATTTGTTATGTTAATAGTGAACTGTTAACTGTTAATATAGTTTTATTTCAAGAGATCGTAGCAACATTTTTGGGATGACTTTATTTTTAAACTCTATCTAAGCAACATGCCACTTTTTTTTAAGCAAACTTTCGATCATTAAGTCATTTTAAACTTGAGGCTAACATCAAACTTCATGTCCCATCCTTTTATCCGTCTAGTCTCTAGAATAAGAAAACTAACAAAAACCCGAAACACTGAAAGAGAATAATATAAAATATAAAAAGGCTTCTCAAGCTCCAAAAACAGTGCTGCTTCAAAGTTCCTAATCCCATTGTGTCACTTTCTGTTAAATAATTAAAAGACCATTCAATCATCCAACATTGCGTTTACTACAGTCGGGCTAATTAACTCTGTACTGCTATTGTAGATGTACCAGTTTCAATGTCAAAGAAGAGGGACTGTTTAAAAAGCAAAATCATTGTTGTAAAATGTTCTGTTTGACAATGGCTTTAAAGTGGTTTAAAACCACTTAATGTCTTGGTCAACAGACGCGCCACCGCATTGACATCTATTTGGCACTGTTTGTATCCACACTTGGTTATAGATTGATGTGTCACAAAGACAAACGGTGCTGATTTAAATGCTCACTGTTGATTAAAAGCTATAATCTGCTCATTGATTAAGCTGGTTTGACACATTTCTGCTCAGTCAATAAACACCAGGAGTCGATACCACGCAGACTGCAGCTGGAACCAGCCGTCTGATCAGGATCAATAGGTTACTAGGAGTAAATAGTGTCAAGTGTCACTCATCCCAGCATGGACTGAGGCTTCTGCTGAAAGGGTGGAGAATTCCCAGCCTTGAAGCCAGTCTGTGGTTTCCACCAGTAAAATAAACAGCTGTGTAACAGTGGAGCACCATTATGGGACTTTAACATTAACTTCAAATTACTTCAAATTCTGTTAGTCATAAAAATAAAAAAGGAAACTCTTCTACATGATTACACAATTCAGCATATTCAAGCATTTTATCAAAAAAATTAAAACACAATTCAGCATATTCAAGCATTTTATCATAAAAATTAAAAAATAAAAGTATATTTAACAGAATATCAAACAAAGCAAATCATGACAACCAAAATTTGCAAAAGATTATGTCCCCTTTTTTTGGCTCAAGGATGATTTACAGTATGTTATAAACAAAATATGGCTTTGACTAAATAGTGTTTATTCTTTGAAAAAACAGAATGCTGTTAAGATCAGAGATGTAAGAGGCTAGAAATTCAGAATCGCAGGGCCCAGCAGAGACATTACTATTACTATTTTTGGGTCCTGATCTAATGAAAAGTTTTTGGATATAGAGTCGGAGGAACCATCAATATTTTGAGGTCTTCACCAGAGAAAAGGCTGTTATTGAACTTTTTTTCATCGAGGTTATTGTGATGGGATTCAAAAAGGCAAGACAATGTTACAGAGTGTTGCGTTCACATGAGGTGCGGGCGATAAGGTTGATAACAAAAACAAATCAGCCCGGCCAGTGGCTGTGCTCCAGTAATGACAGCATGGCAGAGAGATAACACTGCACCACCCATGCTGCTGTTTTTCATCTGGTTTCAGCTCTGTGCCGTGTCAACAAACAGCTCAGGTGCAAAGAAACTCTGTTTGTAGTGTATAACAATGGCTGCAGAAAAGCAGTGAAATGTTCAGTCGTTCCAAGTTCATGAAGACACGTTGTCACACAACCCAGCTCTGAATAACTGAGGAGACGGAGGTTGTTTTAAGGGATCAAATAAAATTCTTACTGCTGCACAGGCACAGAGGCATTAATGATAAGATGGTACTACAGCCAGTGGAATTTTGGACACTGACATTTGTCTTCTCCAGATGCTTTGGTGGCAGATTAGCTAATGCATGTAATTTGACTCCATATTTGGCTTTACACCAGATTACACACATTACACATTGTCATTAACACATCCTGGGAGAAAGAGTTTTTCACCCAAGTACCTCTGTTTTAAAATATCGTCTTGACTCCCAGCGAGTTTCCATGGAGGCTTCAACCTTCATCGACAAACTTCATCCTTCTTTATTGCTCTTGTAGTTTAAAGTCAACAGGCCTAATGTTTGCTGGGATGTCATTTCTCTCATTAGCCCAAGATTCACTGACAAACATCTCTGTAATGATGATAACACGTCTGTGTTGTGTTTAGGGCTTGTTCTGCTGCTACACCATTAAACTGTTATTGCTGCTCTCATTAGGGCTTTACAACATTATTTGAAGGCAGACAAACACAAGAGGGCTGGAGAACCAACTCGTCTCTCAGCGATAAATCAGCCCCAGTGATATGAATGCACAATTAACTTCAAGTAGACAATTGAATTCGGGGCATCTGTGGCTGCCAGCCAACTGCACTCTGTAGAGAAAAGTCTATCAGTCACGGTCCAATTGTAATGATGGAGAGGTTCAGCTGCTAATGCACATCCTCGTAGTCCTCATGATCACATGCAAAATCCACCAACAGACAGCTACTTGTTGCTGGCCCTAAAGGTTTTCATTACTAGCATGACAGTTATTTTCATTGCAGCTAAGTGAACGGGAGACGGGATTTGAGGGATTTATCGCTCTGCTCCGACGAGCACAGCAGCCCGTGTCTTTACATCAGGATGTGCACTCCTCTGATTGACTGCAAGTTAGGGTTCTCACATTCTGACGTACAAGGTGGAGACGGAAATGTAGACCTTAATCCCCGCTTGGTCTGACCTCTGCATGACAACCGGTTGTTACTTTCACATCATTGACGCAACTCCAGCGGTGATACGATCGAAGTCAAACAAATATTGAGTCACTCAGTTTGCAAATGGTTTTCACAATATTTGTTGTCCAAGCAAATGAGAGAATTAATGACACTAAGTCCACAGAAAATGATTTGTGCACTCCTTTGGTTTTGTCATTTGCTTCCCTGAACACACATGCAACAGTAGGACTTGTACCTTATGCACACGATGTGCGTCTAAATGTCAACATCCAGACAGCAGCGGCTGCCTGATTAATAAAACATGAGCTTTTCTCATTTCTCTGCTAATGAAATCATCAATATTGTATGTGGGAAAGATTATGATTTTTTATAGTTTTTTTAAAAAAGGCCAATAAAAACTAAAAGGCTACTATTTCACAGTTTTAATTTATTATTTAGCGCTAATGTGTTGGAACACTTTACCTGCTGCATAGAAGGACGTAGGATAATGCTGTCTGTTTGTCTAATGAATGGTGAATCAGGGATGCAGCTAACTGAATGTAAACATAAAAGAAGGCGAAACCAGAGCCTGAGTTTAGTTCTGCCTCCAGAGTCCACAGAAGCAATCAGTTCTTGTAAGTGCTTTGTTCTCTCAACAGAGCCCCTGAGAGGTGACAACACTGGAGAAGAGTATGGTGTCATCTGCGGAGGGTGTATTTGAATCTTCATGTTGGGAACTAATCAGGACGCTGCACACAAATGTCGGCAGAACACCCTGGTCGTTTATCTTACTAGTGATAACTACTGCTGAGAACAGGAGATGAGAAACACAAGTGGTGTTCTCTCCAAAACCTCTTGATCAAGTGATCTAAAGTTGGCAGATGTCTTTCAGTTGTCACTGGAAGAGGGAGAGGATGGAAGGGCCAGTATTGTGGCCAAGCAGTTGTGATGAGTGTCCTGTAATATCCTGAAGAAAGTAAATGTTGGAAACGTGGCCATGACCTGGAAATTCAGGGAGGTACAAGGAAGAACAAGGAAGAACACGGAAGAACACGGAAGTGACGGCTGTGAGAACAACGTGGTCCTTCATTGACACCTACCAGCAGGGAAGCTTTTGTTATAGCCTACTTTACTGGAACAAGTGACTCAGAGTGTCAGTGTTCGGTCTGGTCCATTAGCATCTTGTTTTGTTGCTGTTATTCACACTCCATATCCTTTTCTGGTGTTTTGCATCTATTTGTGGTCATCTTTTTTCTCTCCTCTGATTCTCCATAAATAAATGTCTCTTGGGAGAGTAACTCTGGCTCAGGGCCTTGTTCCATGGACCCATGGAACCTCATTGTGGCCTCATACAGTGATCCAGCCAGGATGATATTATTACAGGGTTACAGTAATTTGTTTGCTCTGCTGTGAGTGGAAGAAGCCTGATGTAATTACTTCATTGCATCAGTTTGCACAGTGGCTAATATCACTTCCTCCTTTTTCTTCCTGGACTTTCACACGTAAAAGATTTAGTGCTTTTTGGCTGCAGGGAAGTTATGCTGATATGAATAAGAAAACTAACAAAAACCGAAACACTGAAAGAAAATAATAATATAAAAACGTCCTGTTTTGTTTTGGTGATGAATAATAATATAAAAACGTCCTGTTTTGGGCGTTTTGTTTTGGTGATAAAAGGGATATTCTTGGTCGAACATTTACCGTGTATATATACATATACATATATATATATATTAGGTGCATCCCTAATAGGAAAAAAAAAATCAACAAGGTCAAAAATTGTACTGTTACTGTGCTTTCTGAATCAGTTACACTTGCATTGATATTCAAATTGGAGCCGATGGTAAAAAGAGTGTCTGCTATTGTATGTCCCAGAAGTAGTTATTATTATATTGTTCAGGAAGTCTGTATCAAACAAGCAGCTCTTCGTATTACTAAATGCCCTTGAAGTAGCTCTCTGTTTCAAAAAGGTTGGTGATCCCTGATATAGACTATAGTATAGTGTAAAGGGTTGTGATTGAGTCCCTGATAAATTTCTCACCCTGGGTGATGATATAGTATAGTGCTGACAATAAGTGCAAGAACAGCAGTAGTAGGGTAATTTGAC